ATTTTCCTTTCTACGTTTTCCTTTTCGCTGTTTTTGTTTTCTACATTTTCCTTTTCGAAATTTTTTCTACGTTTCTTTCTACGTTTTCCTATTCGACGTTTTTCTTTTCTGTCTTTTCCGTCAATCCGGTTTTTATGGTATACTGATCACTTTATACATGACTTTCTCTTGAAACTTTGTAATTTATCTTATAAGAGTCGCCATACAACTCTGATTTATAAAATGTTCTTGGGAAAATCTGCAGTGACAAGAATAGAGTTGATATGATTAATTTTTGATAAAGTTCCCGTCCTTCAGAACAAACGATAGACAAGAACTCGTATTGTTACTGAATGTTCTACTAAGTAGCGCTATCAGAGTGATATTTGTAAGAAAATTTAAAATGTATATATAATGGGCAACATGCGATTGAACTTTATTTCTTGTGTAGAAAATAATATACACATAGATAAGTACATCTATCTTTAAATTATTTTCCTGTGATGAAGAACTTCATGTTGTAATGGAGAAAATCGATCGTTAGTAGAGGATTTTCTGCCAAAATTGAAAATATCGACACTATAACTCTCAACACTACGTCTTTGTTTTAAAATTTTTTGAAATACGTTCTCTTGATTAGAATTTTGAAGCTCATTTGAACGAGAAAGATCTCTACAATTGCGGAGAAAGTCACCGTATGGGTAATCGATAATTCATGAATCTATTTATATATTTTACGCTACAGGATATTATACTGGTAACTGTGTACCAAGTTTGGAAGCACCAAGTAATAAAACGTGTGAAATCGAAGGATGGTGCCCTGAAGAATACTCCGCATCAACGTACGTATTAATAATAACACCGCCACGCTTTTTACACCATCACTATTCCTTTTCTTCTTGTTTTAGAGAGTATCAAATTGATAAAAGTGCATTAAACAATTTTACTGTATATATCAAATCGATTGCCACATTTCTCAAACTTGGTCTTACTCTGTATGTTTAATATATTCACACCCTGAGTTTTTAATAGTAGCAATAAACACTAATTGTTTAGAGGCAATGTTCGACCAGAAACCAATTTTTCCTGTTTATTTGATTCTTCAACTAATCCAAAGTGTCCAATATTTGAAATTGGCTATATCTTAAATTATATATCAAAGAAAGTTGGAGAGGATGTTGAACCAGCATTATTGAAAGATGTTCGTTTCAAAATAAATTTTAATTCTAAAAAAACTATTATATTTTTCTCTAATAAAAGGGTGGCCTAATTGAAATTGAACAAAAATGGTTATGTAATTTTGATTTTGATGCAAAACGTTGTTTTCCCACATATGATTTTCGTTTATTACAAAGCGGAAATGATGTACTGTCACCAGGAATCAATTATCGGTATGCAGAGTTCTTCACTTTAATCATTTCGTGACTTTATTATGTTTTTAGTTATGTACATAAATATCGTTCAAATTCAACGGACTATCGAACATTGATTAAAGTTTATGGACTGAGATTTATAGTAACGACAACTGGTCAAGGAGGAAGATTTAATATTGTGAATTTATTTGTGGCTATTGGTGAGTGAATATCATTTTTAAAAAAAACAATAAGTAAAAATATTTAATTTATTCAGGCTCTGGCATTGGTTTTATGATAATCGCTAGTATAGTATGCGATTTTATCTTTCTACATTTCCACCAATCTCGTAAACAGTATCGTGACACTAAGTTTTCTGTATGCGAAACAGAGAAAACTACCGAAGACAAAAACGAACTTATACCTTAATGTTTGATTCATGTACGCGATCAAATTATCTTACATCATTGTTGATTGTGTATAGTGCATATGAATCTTGCTTGAAATGCCGTCAAAATACCGTGATTTTCTCGTATTTGCATTTTTAGCTTTTGTTACATCCATCTTTGCAATTTGTTTTTGTTTTATCGTTTGTTATGTAAGTGAAATAAACAGCGGAAACATCATTAACAGTGGAAGTTAATGCTCTTTCTTTTCCAAATGACTTGTATGCAAGTCTCAGAGTAACAGCATTCTGAAGCATCAGCAAAAAACGACGTATACACTATTAGTGGTAGAAAGTTACTGTCTAGTTGGTTTAAGTTTTAATCTTGAACCAGAACGAAATCGAGAATAGAAATTCCCATTATATCATTCTGAAACTTAAACTACCAAAACACAAAATCAATCCTTGCACGAAGCTAGACGAACTGCAAAGTTAGTTAGTACTGTCTAGTTGGTTTAATAGTAACGGTGAAAAACAGTTATCATCCGCTATACACCATTATAATTAATATAGATGTTAGATGATAGAAAATATGCATTTCTAATGAATAATTAATTATTGAATAATGTTTTTTTTAAAGTGCATTATACTTTTACATTGTTATTTAAGTTATATTTCACAAGTCGGCTGAGATGATAATTTGAATCATAAAAGAACTGAATATATTTCACAATATTTAATAATCTTTTGGTTATATTCACGTCATCATATTATTTCAAGTATCAAATCCAAAGTAAACATGAGATACCATCCAATTTAAGCACACGTGTTCTAACACACGGTTTATACAAAAATTTTCTCTATACTAGAGAACATGTACCGTCTGACTATCATAATCTTTCTGCATCTTTAATTTAACATATGTCATTTGAATAAAAAGAGATCGAGACAGAAAATTTGTATGAATAGTTTCTGATTATAATTCTTTTTAATGCTTTTACACATCAAAACCTAACTGGTCAGTCTATCAGAAATGTACGCGTTATAATGCCGATAGCATCCTATTTTTACAATCATGTTCATTTTAAAAAGATTTTCAGTAAAATTTTAAGAAAAACTCAATGTACCCAGTTACAGTGGGCAAGAGCGTGACATTAGGTGAATTATCAAAAGTATACTTTTTCAAGATTAAAATACGTCGTAGTATGAAGAACGTTCTATTCAATGATATAAAAAAGTTTGTTACGAGTGGCAAAAATCTTGGAAACACAAATAGCCAAAATAAACTGTCAAAACATGTTGGTAAGCAAAAAGTGTTTTTCTTATTTAAGAAGAGAAGGTCTAAAGCGTAGATAATAACGGGTGGCGCAGAAATAATGGGGCAATTTTGTTTCTATCTTTGAGGCACTTAACAGTCGTTTTAAAATCTGGTTCTAAGATCATTCGATAGAGAATTCATTTTTCTACAAAACTATCGAATGCGGTTTTCAAATTAGTCTTTCTTATGGACGCAAAATGTCAAAGATTAACACCTACTCAATAGTCCATCTGCGAATTCTTATTTTTTCCAGATATCAATCGATTTGTTTAAGCGTGTGCTCATCAAAATCGATGCTCAAACTAAAGTATTTAACATCAATAGATAGAGAATTTTGTGTTCTATACTTCCCCGACTTTTTCAACGTTCTTGGTGCCCTTATTCACAAGAAAAAGGCTTTGAACTAACACCTCGTGCAATTTTTGGACGCATTTCAGAAAAGACAGACTTGTCAGATGAAACGCTGACTCTCGTACCGTCGTATGCAGAATTTAATTCAGGACAAAATAGTATAAATTATGACTTCAACATTGCCGTCATTTTGGCTGTTTCAAATTAAAAGAGAACAATGTCGTAGATCTGTCAGGAAATAAGTTTTTTTGGTGTTTTCACATTTTCCACTTCTAAATTTTTGAAAATTACATCGAAAGATGCAGAATTTTATGTAGAATTTCGTGGCACACGTAACATTTCAGCAGAATCGTTTAAAAATATTTCCATACATTTTTTCGTTTTTTTGGTATTCGCAGATGGAGTTTTGAGTAGGTGTTAATCTTTGAAGTTTTGCGCCCACAAGAAAGGCTAATTTGAAAAACGCATTCGACAGTTTTGTACAAAAATGAATTTTCTATCGAATGAGCTCAGAACCAGGTTTTAAAACGATTTTTAAGTACCTCAAAGGTAGAAAACAAAAGTGCCCCATTATTTCTGCGGCATTCGTTACATATTATAATATTACACAGGGCTCTGTTTTTCAGGACATTTACGGTAATGCTCATATCTTCACGAAAACTCATCGGAAAATTCTGAAAAATATCTCATCTTGAAGAACACATTTTCTTCTATTAGCCTATATATAAGGAAAAATTATGACTATATAGAAAAGGAGAGGAAAATTTACGAAACTAAAAAATTGAGATTTTCTAGGCTTTGAAGGAAAAACTTAGCGAGGGTTGCTCAGAACAACGGTTTCAAATTTTTTCATTACTCCCTGTTGGAGGTAGAAACATTTTTAGAAAAAGTCTTAGTGCTCGAAAATAGTCACTTTTTGAAACTTCTGTAGCTTCAAAAAGGAATGGTGAAAAATCTGAAACCTTTTTTCTGAACTACCCTAGATGCGATGTGCAAAGTTTCAAGTCGAAACTCAAAAGTTGACTCTTGCTGGATGTCCAACAAAAATCTCGAAAAACCGACTAAAAGTTGAATATTTTCCAAACAAAGGCCTATGGGTATGAATCACCTTATTCTTGTTCATTATTCACAAAGGCCTACATGATGAAACTAGTCCGAGTCGAAAAGCGATTTATCATCTCGAAAGGTTCCCGCACCAGCTTTAGTTTAGGTTTTCTTCCGTTATCAAGTGCCTCATTTTATTTAATTTTTAATGTCCTTTCGAACATGATATTATTCAAAAAGATCCAAACTAATTTGGCTTCTAAAACTGAAAAAAACAAATGATAGCACTTTTTTTCGAAAAACTTAATCTATCTTTCAAAATGGCTTTTCTTACTATGAGTTTCTGAGACGTAAACGTTTTTTCATAAGTACAATGAACGCATGAAAATATTTTTGGAAAAACTTTTTATTGACTATGTTTTAGACCCTTGAACACTTACACATTTACAGTTTTCAGATCGAACAAATAATTTGTACCGAAGACAGAACACTTTTACTTTTATGTTTCTCTTTGGCGTTCAGCCTGTATAATTTACTTAATGTAAACGTCTTCTAGCTCTATAAAATCATATTCTTAAGGTCTAAAACCTTTTTCAATTAGCTAAACTCTATGTGTTATACAAAGTGGAAGTGTGCGAGAATCTATTTAGATGCAAGTAAACGGCGTATTTAGAGTCAAGAGCTGTACAGACCAGTTCTAAAAAGTCGTACATACACATGAGTGTCAGATTTGTGATCAGTATAAGAAATAACTTTTAAAAATCTGTGTTTCATTGGAATTGATCTGAGCGCATCAAGAGGATCTCTCATCGGAAAATAGCAGATAAATTGAAACATTCAATTGATTTTTCGAATTAGTGCCACTAAGATATTCAACAATTGTTTAACCAACTAAATCGTCTACTCTTTCATAGATTTTAAAAGTAGATGTGACAATTTTTCAATCTTTTTTTCTACAAACAAGTATTGACTTATAAAATGCGAGAGATTAAGAAATCGTGTTTGCGACAAGCATTTCAAAAATCTAAGCGCTCATGTGTCTTATCATCTTCTCTGAGATATTAAAGTATATCGTATTTGTTTATTTTATTATATTGGATAGAAAAGAAAGATTGAATAGATACTTTATTTTTGTGACAATATGTCAATATCTACAAAAATAATATAAAATAACAAATAAAAACATCTTGAGAAACTATCACTATACAACTGGTGACGAAGTATGTAACATCAACAATTTTCTGGATAGAATACTGTCGCTCTTGTCAATTATCTTAATTCTGAAAGTTTGCTTCTTTCTCATTATGTTTCTCTCTCATATACAAAATATTGCACATTAATATATATAATCAGCATATACTTATTATCTATAAATTGTTTTCCTTCTTTTCTACTTTGATCGACCAAATACCAAAAAGAAACATGAAATGATATAGGGTAAAACTAAACATTTTTTGTTGACTGTAAGCTTAGAAAAACAGAAATAATATATTCCTAAAAATATACATTTTTATTTTACTATAAAGTTCATGTTTTGTTTTCACAATAAATCATGTTTCAGAACATAACAAAAGTTACTTATATCAATAGGAAATAAAATAACTATAAAAATATAATCATGATTGATTTTCGATATGGTAAGTATCTTGTACTTTTCATTCTACTGAACTGTTAAAACACTCGACGATTAAAACTCGATTGAATATTAACTCAACAGAATTATTCTAGTGAAACGAATCAGCTAAAGGTTTTTTATTCACCTTATGTCTATAAGAAACATTTGGATAAGTAGTCTTTTAAAAATAGGTTGTAGAGAAGTTTTGTTGATGTAGTAATTACAACACAGAACTAATGAATTAGGAGTTTTACGTTTTTTTACTCGTGTAATCAACGCTACTCGGCCCACTTAGAGAAGATTTTTAAACGTCAAAAATTTATCCCAACTTAGAATTATTCGTATTAACTTAAAATATTGTAGCTATTTCCTCTGAAAGTAAAAAAATATGTGAGATAAATGATAAGAAACGTTAAAAATGAAGGAGTAGAGGTCTCTTCTGACGTTGTTTGATCTTGCAAAGTCAATTAGGACAGCTTTGTATCTCTTTTGAGAAGTTGCGGAGGTATAACAATAACAGAGAGATCTAGGGTTGATTTCGTTTAGCTTTAGATGATAATTATAGACGATACGCATATATTATTTACTATGAATCCGAATTATTGCCATAATGATAAAAATTTAAAATTGTGCAGCTGCCACATATGTTTGTTAAACAGAATAGTTAAAGATCACAACATATAACGATGTGTGCTGTTTATTATAGATACAGTCATACTACTATATAATATATAAAGCATATATGTCGCATTTGCCCTGTTATCAAATTCTCTTTCAGACTTGTCAGCAGTAGAATTAAAAGTACTCTATATCCAAAAAATTCCATTTTTCTCTCTCTAAAGCTAACAGGTGATTGTGATAGTGATTTCATGCCATTTTTTTTGTCGTGTTTCAATCATTGTAATTGTTGTCGTCTACTACTACTCAGTATGATAGAGAAACGTTGCTATAATTTTGTTCAAAGGAGAGGTTACTATAAGACTCTAAGTCGACCAATTTCACATTTGTTTAGTAGGGACCAGGCACGAAACTGCATGTATTTTACGTTGTACCAGGTCTTCTAGATTAACCTTCGTAGTTTATATTTGTAAAAAATCGACTGATTTTAGGTCAATATCTCCGAAAACCCATTGGAATAGTTTTGGATACTTTTCTTTACAACTATAAGCTACTAACATATTTTAAGGCCAGTACAATCCACCATTCAATACATATTTTTACCTTAGTTAAAGTTGTTGCACAGACATTCGTACTTTATTAGTGCATGTAAATAAATTGCCAATCAGAAAGATGATAATATAAGTCTTTTATAAGACTTTTATATATACCTTTATAGAGGAATTTATTTATTTTGAAAACATTATATACTATCTTCTATCTTGATTAGGAATATACCAAGTATTGAGACTTTCTCGTAATGATCGCATATTTAAAACAGACATTTTTCTACTTAGCTTAGCACCTTTCAATTTGATTAGTTCTAGCACTAGTTGCTGATAGAGTAAAGAAAACTGATTGAGTTTAACATAAAGACTCGATAGAACTTGAGGATTTTTAAATATCGAAAATATACGATCATTACGGCAAGGTCTTTATGTCCTATGCATCTTTAATTATAATGTTCCAAAATCATTGAATATGTTTCACCATGATTAAAGTCTGAATAGATCTCGTCCCACAGGAACCTGTCAACTATAATCGATATTTTTCGATGAGAAAAGTGCCTCAAATTCGAATGAAAAGCATATTTTCTTAATAGTTCAAGGTTTCAAAAAACTAATATTTCAGTTTGAAAAATTATCCTAATTATCATTTTTAGATACTTAATTGAAATATATTTCCCTTGACGAAAGAAAAGAAATGTTATACAAATATATGTTTTATAATGATATATATTTTGTTCCCAAATGATTTCGTATAGTATGTGAGTGTGTTTTTAGTAGTTTCTCAGGTTTTTTCCATTATTTATTTTCTCTGAACAATACTTGTTTTTCTTTGAACTTCTCAAAAATATCAACTTTTTGCATAAGTACACGTTACGGATTGATCATAATTCATAGTAAAAGATTAAATTTCAACATTCAGATGATTTAAAATGATCGCTAAATTTGATCTTATCACTACATTGAAATTCTTTTTTGACTATGATCATTTTCTTGTTTTAGATATAATAAATGAATCTAAAAAGGATCAGTCGATTCACATTTCTTTCATACATTACTAACATCTCCCATTTAATAACAAATATTTATCTATCACCAACAAGATGGAGAAATTCGTGAATGCATCCTAATTTCAATGAAAGTTTATCCAAATTAATAACAAATATTGTTAATAATTTATCAAATGATACAGAATCTTCCAATACTATATATCATCAACAGCAACAACCATTGCGTCCGTCAGTGGTATCCAGCTATGCTGTTATTATCGTTCTATCCATACTATGTTTTTTGGGTTTTTTATTTATGGTATTCGGACCAATTTTTCGTTCGGAAGCGTATAAACGTGTAGAAAACTATATATTTGGACGAGAAAGAGGAGAAGACAGAGTGATCGATGGTGAAGATTACTGCGATGAGTAGAAGAATAATTAACAAAAAAAAGTCACACGAGTTCATAGTTTGAAAGAATCATACTTATTCGTACCGTGATAGAAGTTTCATAATTAACGATTTTACATAGATTTTCTATGAAACATATACGATCGTTTATCCGAAATTCAAACATGTCAATTGTACTTGCTTTGTTAGTTTTTTTGTTTTTATTAATAATTTAATATCACTGTTTTCGAACATCATAGTAGAGGGAAAAAAACCATAAGAAATGTTTGATTTCTAGCACTTTATTCTAAAACTTTTATACTCTCTATTTCTCACAAAAGAAAGACTAATATCAAGTTACTGTCGTAATGCATTTTTCTAGCAATCAATACTCGTGTGTTTATGATTCTTTGTTTCAAAATTATTTACTGTCATTAATTAATTGAGCTAATTTTCCCACACCTGATATGTAAAAGTTTGGTATATTACTCTTGTCTGTTTTTTGTTCTTTTAGTTCATTGACATGAGACTCATTTGTAGCACCAGTTAAAACTAAAATTGTTGTTAAACCTTGATTGTTTCCAAAGGCAATGTCAGTTTCTAATCTTGAAGTAAAAGAAAAGCCTATAACTCTTTTTATCATGCAATGTAATACACCTATTTTTATCCTCTTTCTAGTTTAATACCTGTTCAAACTGTTTTCAATAGCTTTATGATGTGTATTACTCTTACCTATCGCCTACCATGACTGTTTTTGTTGGATTCAAATTAAATTCGTCTTGAATAACTTTCCACATTGGAGTATGTGGTTTACCAAGTATTGTCGGCAATCGTCCTGAAGCTGCCGTGACAGCGGCTAACACTGCTCCAGCACCTATAAACATAGACATTTTGTATAATGACATGAATGTTACTATTTATCAGTGACTGATATAAACCTGGCATCACTACTTCATCATTTGTTGGTAAACTAGCATCATCGTTTGTACCCAAAAATAATACTTCTTTCCGTTTCAAATGGGTAGCAGCTTTTAATACTTTTAAATAGCTCATATGTAAATCGAGTGCACTAATAACACACGTGATCTAAATTACAAAAATGATAAGCAAATATTGTTAATATTCTTCATTCATTGTAGAGCATACATCGGAATCCAATTGTACTTCATCTGTTTTGATTGCTTGTAGATCTGACGGCACCTGATCTGCCTTAAAATAAATTAAAAATGTGTAATAAATTTTTTCGGAGGAGGAGGAAATCAATAAAACAAGAGCTTACGCCAATACCACAACATTCAATTCCTTCTTTTTGAAGTTCCTCAAACATTGATTTCATTCCCAACACATAACATTTTCCTTTGAAATGGATCGATTTCAAATAGTGAGCTGTTATCCAGGCGGTACATATCACTTGTTTCTATAAAACATTATTGAATTTTCTAAGAAAAACTAGATAGGATTTATATACAATATAAACATCATACCTTTTTGGCTGCGTTAAAACCAATGTCAGCAAATCGTTTGGCATAGTCGTCTTGTGTTTTTGTACTATTATTTGTAACAAAAAAAATTTGTTTACCCTAAAACAACTAGGATGGATCCATACTAATGATATTATATATGAAGAATTAACCTACCAATGCTGTTAATTTGTTTAATAGATCAACAGCACCCGGTATTACGTGTGGCCAGTTCCAAAGAACACCTAATGAAAAAACAAACAGAATAAAGCTATTTTAACGATCATTATAAGTTAAATACACACACCATCACAGTCAAATATAAATGTGTCGTGTTTTTCTACTAATGAGCTGACATTCTTGTCGGTAATTTGTTCACACATCTGAAAAGAAGCTAACACAAGTAAGGCGCAGTAAGTGCTGTACAGGTCCTTTGAGTGAAAATATTGCCTAGATATGCTGAGTGCTAACGAAAGATTCAATATGAAACACAATGCTCTAGAAATGCCATAAAAAAATGTATACATGAATTTTATTAGAAAATATTGACACAACTCGAATTTCTGTTGAAATCTATACCATGTATGCATAGTCACATAATATAAGAACGCACTCAGTCAAAGAAAACTACTTAAAATAAACTGTGAACACTATGTAATGGGAATCGAACGAGAAAAACGGACTATGGTGGAAATTTGGCGAGAAAAACAGTTTGTAAACGATAATAGGGAGAAAAAATAGGCGAGAACGCAGACTATAATGAAGAAACAAGCGACAAAAACTCATTTTCCCACTGTCTCTTGATCAGCATTAAACTAAAACGTTCCACTTACCTTTATTACACGAATCCGACATCCACGTACTAACTTAGTACGTGGATGTCGGATTCGTTTAGTATACTTAGTACTACTAAGTATATGTAATACGTATGACAAAAGAAAAAAACGAAAAAGTAACGATAATCCTGTTTTGGAGACCCTTTCCTTTCAGTCATGAAAACAAGTCTCTTATTTTAGGAATTGGATTTTGAAAGTAATCTTGGTATATTTTTATGATCAATTCAATACCGTTCATTATTAAAAAGAACACTTCACCGATTCGAAAATGTCTTCTACGAAAGAATTGTCGTTTGCCTGTCCATCTTCAAATGCTTGACCTGTTCTTTTTTTCCTAATCTAATAATGAAAAAGTAATATTAGTTTCTTACAAATATACACACTGATACGTACTACGTGGCTTAATTATCTCAAGAAAGAAAAACAACTCAGTTTCATAAAATACACATTCATCATGCGCTAATTAAAACCGTCGCAGAGAAGCCTCTAACCGGGCTAAAATGTGAAACTTTGCAAAATCATTCAAATTTAAAATCAAAACTAGTGCCATCGAAACATCTCTTCTCGTCAAAACTGCTAAAAGATTCCAGAACATTTTAGAATCTTCTCGAATGGAACCTTTAAGATCAATACTACTGCCATAGCAACGTTTTTAAAATCATTAGTAGAAGGAAGCGCAGAGGTTGGAAATCGGTAAAATCCCTATAGATTTGGGTATAAACTTCAATTCGTCTCTATATTGGAGTTTCACAAAACGTATGTGAAAATGTGAAAAAACTAACTTGGGATCATTCATTTGAAGACTTCCCCCATCTAGAGATCTATTTTCACCACGGAACGCAAGCCGTTAAAGATAAAAGTATATGCAAGAAAAATTTTCTGATGAAAAATGATAATAAGTTTCCTTCATCGTTTCACTCAATTCGCTAAGCTAAAAAGAAAAAATGTTAAATTCTTTTATTCTATTGTTCATGCTACGCTTATAAAACATACAGGACACCTTTCCTATTTATAATCCATTTCAAACCAAAATAAAATTCTATTCTTATGATCAAGTAACCAAACAAATTTGAAAAGTCTGTAGACGCTTTTTATGATGGATTGTGTTAGTGCAAGATCTATAACTACGAAAGCAATAAAGTCAGAAGAAGAAGGATAAACAATCAGAACTGTAAAAGAACTTGACTAGATACTTAAAAAAATTGAGGACGTGTGAGCAAAAAGATTTGCAAAATAAGCACTGCATCATCTGTACATAAGACTTAAAAAAGAGGACACGAAGAGTTTCGCAATCTATGTGAATTGGTAATCTAATATGAATTAATTATACCCGGAGTCTTCCCGTTAAACGAAAGATTTGTCTGCTTAGTAAAGAACTTAGATGGCTTTAACTATTCTGATATTTTTATTTTCAGGCTGCTATTTAACATCCTGAATTTAAATCGGTGTACAAAGTATCTGGAACTATGATAAGTGAAACAGATCTACTGAAAACTAGTGAAGTGAATACTGCTGGCAATGGACTTATACTGACATATTCTAATATCATTAAAGATACTGATGGCTCACGAAAATTGACACCAACATTGCATTCGAAAGCAGATAAGTTTAGTAAATTCAAAGCGATCAAATTGAAGTAAGCGAAGTAAGTGTGACGAGTTTTGTTTATACAGAACACTAACAGATTTTGTTTTGGGATAAGAAAATTCTGATTTTTTAAGAATTCTGCAAATGAGAGCCACTATGATCTGGTTGTAGTCTGACTTGTAGACCAATCGATTTTTTCCTGTCTCTTTTATAGTGTCATGGTGAAAGTCTTAAACACATTGCACAATTTGAAATACGAGGTAAACTTCATTTAGAAGAAAAACTATCGTGATATCGATTCACTGCAAATATTTCCAACAATATTGCTGAACATGCACAACAGGATTCTCACAAAGGTTTATGCTGTCTTCATAACATATTCTCATCTTATAGGCTGAAAAATAGTATAAACTTCTTATCTAAGTATCGGAAGCTAATGTAAATATTCATTGAAGCATCCATCTATATTCTGAATAGTCACGCTACTTAACAGGAACAAAATGCAAAAATCATATTATAGCGTTTTCTTACAACGTCCCCCGCATGAGTTATAACCTACAGAAATGCTGCACACTTACAATTTTAACGATATACTGAAAAGATAGAAATCTCTTTAATCAAATAGATTTTAAGAGGAACAGATGAGTAAATGATAAATTTTCACACACTACCTCAAACTGGAATCTTGAGGAATAAAAGCATTTTCCAGGAGTATACTTGAATAAAAACGTAAGACGAACGATATAATGTTAGACATCATACAGGGCTTTTCTCTTCTATGAGAATTCCACCTAGACGAAAAATGCATGGTCCTAATAGCTTAAAATTTGAAAAATTAGTTTTTTTAAAAACATTAATTAGGATGAGGCAATTGGAAACATATTGTTGCCATTTCTGACTTTTAATTAACGTTACTCGTTCAGTTTTAATTACTTTCTCTATCCTTTGGCAGATAGATGGATCAGAGTACGCTCGATTAGTCTATCCAGAAATATTCGAAAACCGCCCGTCTGACAATGTTCCTTCGCAGTGTTTCTATCTGTCCTACTCTCCTGATTTTATCAAATATTTGTCCATTCTGTGAGACACATGTATCTACGGCTCATTCGTAATGCAGTGCATGTATAAAAAAACGTCAGGCAATACAAGTTTGCTAAAAAGGGTTGATGGTAACTCTAATTATCGTCGGTTTCACCATGAGAATAAAACACGATCCTCTCGGAACGCACACCGAGTTCTGGATCCCGGTTTCATTTACTAGTAGAACTCGACGTGTTCTATAAGATGAGCTGGATCTTGACGCTGGTCCACAGTCTTTTGTAAACTGCTCTAGGTATTTACCTATACATGAGGATTTGGACGATTTTCTCTAGATGTTGACGGTTTACTTTATATTGGAATGCAACGTTTCTTGACATGTCCATCGAATGCATCGTAAGCAATGTCATGCAAATCTACTCTTATTTCATACCAATAAGTAAATTTATTTTATTCAGTTACTTTTGAAATTTCCGGAAAAACTCGAATAGGGCTTTCGAAAATACGTTACGATGTAATAACAAAACGTTTACTCTCGAAATGAAACTTTACTTATCTCATGCTAAAGAGAATATTTGATAGCAGACCAGCGCTTCTAATAATTCGTAGTCCTTGTGAGAGTAAGAAAAGCGCTTTTGCTATAGCAGCTGACGAAAGAAGCTAGCGTAAGTGGCTGACCGACGATCATCAACTTTTTGTTAAGATCTAATTAGAGGCAGCGTTTCTAATGACTAGCGGTCCACGTGAGAGCAAAGTGGTCAAATCCACTGTTTTATTGTATTTGTTTTGGATTACCTGTTTATGATTAGATGCTTGTTATATTAGTTTTAAAGAAAAAGAAAAGGCAAGACGTTTCTTTTGTTTTACTCGTATCAGAAGAACCTTTACTCAAGCTAGAAGAACTCAAGCCAGAAGAATTTTACTCAAGCTAAAAAAGCTGAGATAGGTCCACGTTTTAGAACGCAAGCTGAAAACAGTTTTACAAACACCGCTTGATGAAAGTTTATTTGAGACCACTTTGTCCACTTTGCAGTTTAGCGCAAAGTGGAGTGCCACCTTAGGATTCAGACCAAAGTTGTTTATTCCATTTTGATTACAAATCTCATTAGAAATGCTGTAGCAGACTTAAATCAGTGAGAAAAAAAAACAAATTTTTTTCGATTGTTTTACTTTTGAAGTGGTAGATAAGACACAAAATATCACAGATTTTCTAAAGAAAATTATTATGATTCAGAACTCATATAACTTGATGTACAAAATATAGCGCAAAAAAGTGAAAAATGTTTGGAAGTATACAGCTGGTACGAATTAGCTATAGAAACTATAGCTGATTCTGCGGCGCATGTGTTTGGTCACAGAAGTTCGACTAGATTTTCTCTCGAATTCATGATAAAAGATAAAGGTAAAGTATATAAGTGTAGTTGCATGCACTTTGAAAATTAAGAACTACTGCATGTCATATGCCCGCTTATGAACCAGTAAAAAATTCAGCTCGAGACTCGTGAAAGATTCAGTTCATATTTTCTTTTTATCCTTATGAATTATTACGACATCTATCCAATAATGCGAGTATAGCAATGATTTCGATCTATTTTTTCGGAAAATATCGTCACTCTGTTATATGGAGAGTTAAAAGTCATTACTATACGCCGTTTTTGATGCTCTTTTTATTGATATGATCGGAGTGGTAATGGAAAGTCTAAAAATTGAACTATTTCATTATTTAAAAATTTATTATGGTCAATCTTTTAAGTTAGATTCTAAATCAAATGACATTATTTCTGATGTATTTTTTCGAAATCTAGTTAATCATTTGAACTATTAACGGGATTAGTTTGTTGGTTTTCAGACTAGATTAAATCTATCTTTATCAGGAAAAAATGACGATGAGCAATATTTTTAATTTTGTGAAGAAGACAAAG